TTATTTATTGCGCAATATTTCGCAACTTTTTGCACAATATTATGTCCAGACCGTAATTATTGCGCAATATTTCGGGCCATAATCATGCTGCTAAGACGAGTAGAGCTGGTGTTAGAAAATTAAATAATCAAATAAAAGAGCTAGCAGAACAAACTCTGAGTCCACTATCACAGATTATTCAATCTGTAATTGCAAATAACCCCCAAACATTTACCTGTATGTTTTATCATACGATTCACTCTGCCAGACAGTACAACAGATTCAACGTTCAGACCTTCCTCCTATACCAGATTCACTAAATAGCCTTATCATTCCTGATAACTTAAAAAAAACTTTAGACGGCTCAGATTTCTTGGTTAAAGATTCCACTATTGGCAATCAAAGAATTCTAGTTTTCACTATAGTTTCAAATATTCAACATTTAAGCCAATCTTTAGTTTGGCTAATGAATAGAACTTTCGATATACTGACTATTTTTCGACAGTTATATACGATTCATGGATTTGTCAGAAGGGGATAATAATTCCAGAGTTTTATCTCTTGTATATGCCTTGATGTCTAGTAAGCGGAGATGTGCTATAATAGATTATTTCAAGATTTAGTAGACTTCAGCGTGAATCATAATGTTAATTTAGAGCCAGAATTTGTTTTGACTGATTTTGAGCTCACTGCTATAAATGCATTTCAAGCAGGTAATTTATATAATAAATAAATCGTTTAATAATCTGTGGTATCTCTCATTATATATACTAATATCAGCTAATATATATATTATATTTTATTTTTAGAATTTATTACTACTCAAAGCAAGGGGTGTTTCTTTCATCTGGCTCATAACATATACAGAAGAGTTCAAGATGCTCGTTTAGTTACTCGATATGGGACCGATGAAACTTTTATTTTAAGAATTCGCCAAATACCTGCACTTGCTTTCCTTCCTCCAAATAAAATCTCCAGTGCTTTTGATGAGCTGAAAGCTCATATTCCAGAAGAAGCAAATTCAATTGTTACATGGTTTGAAGAAACCTATATTCGCCGCCAAGTTAGACGAGTATCAAGAAATGGAGATGTGACTTGGAGAGACTCATTATTTCCACCTTCTTTTTGGTCAGTCTACGAAAATAATGAATATGATTTTCCTCGAACCAATAATTCTGTTGAGGTATGGCATAAAAGGTGAGAAACTCTAATTGGCTCAAGTAATTTGAATATCTTTAAATTTATAAAAGAGATTCAAAAAGAACAAAATCGATTATGGCTATTTTGTGTGGGGCGCCAAGACCTTTTTAAGAAAGACTGAATACTGTACATGAATCACAACTTAGAACAGTCTTAGATGATCGTAATAGTAGACCATTAATAATCTTTTTAGAAGAAATTGCTCACAATCTTTCATTATAAATTAGTATTTAATTTTATTAGTCTGCATTAACTATATATTTAATACGTACTGTTTATATTTATATATTGGCGTAAATACATATATTGTTATGTGAAAATTTTTATTTTGCTATGTTGTACTATCTTCCAAAAATTTCTGCATAATTTTTACAATTTATATATATTAAATTTATATAAAGAATAATAAGTATATTAAAACCTGTCTTGCAGCTCTTCTACATATTATAAATTTTATTTATCAACTAAATATTTACGGTAAATGCAGGTTATAAGTCTTAACAGTATATAGTACTATAATTACTATCTTTTTTTTAGTAATTTCAGTGTAAAAGATCTGAGTGCTATATATGCACAGTTTATAATAATTGACTATATAGTACCTTTAGTATAGTGCCCAGGTATAATGATAATTAAATATATTTTCTTATACCTCCAGATATATATGTGTCGACATTATTGCAGATTGTATAACAATATCAATACACTTATTTATTATTACTGTAGTATTCATAATTTCTCTTCAAGATTCCTATTAGGCATAATGAGCAGTTATAACAAAGCTTACCAGCAAATTAACATGCTTCAACAGACTACAGAAGAAAGTAAAGTTTCTTGTCTTATCAGCTGCTAATTAGGAAGAAAAAAAAAAGTAAGATTGGTACTTATTGTAAAGACTGGTCTTCCCGTCATATTCAAGCTTCATCTGCTAATTCAAGAAAAGTGAAGTTAGTTTTGGCAAATTATAATTATAAAAACAAGAAAAAGAACTATACTTATCACTTTCTCCTCGCCTTATTTTTAAATTCAGCTAACCAATAAAATAGAATTGAAAAAAAAAATGACTAGTTGTCAAAGAGTTAAATAATCACTGAAGTGACTATAATCTACCTCAAACGGCTTTAATTAACTTCAGGTCTCACTTGGCACTTGAGACACTTTACATAACAATGCATAGCGCACTATTCAATATGTGAGTATTTACTTTTACTATTCGTTTTTAATATTGACAGTCAAAAGACTGCTTAATTTCTTTATTTACATTTTACTATTTATACCATTTAAGCAATTACATATTTCGTATTACATTTTAACTATTTCTTTGTTATTAATTAATTAAACTTTTAATTGTTTTCCAACTAATTGTCATATTCATGCATTCGATGATCATAGTATCTATTGTGCCTGATCTCGATTATGCCCGACACTAATTTCCCACCACGACTCATGATCAAGTGAGTCATTTGATCCATACTTTTGTTGAATCTCTACATTCTTCGATTCACCAAACATCTTACTATCTATTTGTATACCTTTTACTAGATATAAGAGCTCTTCGAAAACTATGCGACACTAGTACTTGTTGTAAAACTAAAACTAGTCTTCCTGTTTTATTTTAAGCTTCATCTGGTGATTCAAGAAAGATGATATTTAGAAACTATGAAAAAAAAAGCAAGAACTTATTTTTAGATTTAGCTGCTAATTGAAACTAAAAACCAAGAAGTAGAAAAGTTGGTTTCAGTAAACGGAATTAGAAAGAAAAAAAAAGATAAGATTGGTACTTATCATAAAGATCGGTCTTTCCATCACTGCTGCTGCTTCAAGGCTGATTCAAGAAAGGTAAGGTTAGTTCCAAGCTTTCTACTTCTCTGCTTTTTTATCTTATTTTTAGATTCAAGCCAAAGACCTAAAATTGAAATGTTAGTTATGATAAACTAAAATTAAGAGGGAAAAAAAAAGAGATTGGTAATCTTATAAAGAGTAGTTCTTATGCTTTAATTTAAGCTTTGATTGCGAACTAAAGAAAGATTTGATAGTTCAGAATGCTAGAATTAAAAACAATAGAAAAAGGAAGATTAGTACTTATTATAAAATTAATTTCTCATCTAAGTATTTTCAATTTTTAATAGCTTACCTACCAGTTATGGGTTAACTTCCCAAATCAATTTACTGAAATACTATTTTACCAAAGTCATAATACTGATATCCTATTACATTAGCAAAATATATTAACGTAATTTTACGTAAGTTATTATGGCCCGAAATATTGCGCAATAATTACGGTCTGGACATAATATT